GGAGACACAACACCTTAGTGCTTACTGGTTTTGGCGGGGTGCGATGGCAGCACAGCCGCCTGTTGCCCGGTCGAGAAGAGAGGGAAACCTCTCCTTCGTGCCTACTGTTTTTCCCTTGCTCTTGTCGTCGTTCTCCTTCCCCTCTTTGATTTCCCTCCTCCTTCTCTCCAATGAAGGGACTTCTTTTGTTCTTTTTTTTTTCCTCCTCAGGTGCAGTCCCTCTTCCCGAATATAAGCATAACCCTCCTTCCAAAATAGAATTTGCAAGTAATGACTCAAAGTCCATAGAAAAATCTTCCATGGTGTGGAAAGTCTAAGGGTTAGGATTAAGATGTAGAGGGTAATACCCCCCCTTTTCAAGAAATAAACCCTTTTTGATAACTCATTCAAATCCAAAGTTCATAATAATGCATTCTCCTTTTCTTTTTATTAGAAGCACATAAACCATAACAATTTCTTTGTGTCTCAACGCTTTGGTCTTCCTTTCTAAGATGGCTTCTGGTTCTTCAACGCACCGGTTGTTCTCATCTACGCGAATTTCCGAAAGTGGTATTACACTTTCTTCTTCCGCCAAGCACTTACGAAGGTAGCATACATGGAAAGTGTGGTGGATTCCGGCCATTTCAGGTGGCAGTTCTATTTTGTAAGCCTGAAGTCCCACCCTAGCCAAGACTTTAAACGGTCCAAGGAAACGGGGACTCAGCTTCCCACGCTTTCCAAAACGGATAATACCTTTCCAAGGGGACACTTTTAGCATTACGCGGTCGCCCACTTGGAACTCTATAGGTCGGCTCCTCTTTTCCGCGTAACTCTTTTGTCGGTCCTGCGCTGCTTTCAAACGTTCCCGAACACATTTCACCTTGTCTGCCGTTTCCTGAACGATTTCGGGGCCGGAGAATTGCTTCTCACCCGCTTCTAGCCAACATACCGGAGTTCTACATTTCCGACCATACAAAGCCTCGAAAGGTGCCATCCCGATACTGGAATGATAGCTATTGTTGTAGGCGAACTCCACCAGGGGTAGGTGAGAATCCCAATTCCCGCCAAAGTCGACAACACACGAACGAAGCATATCTTCAAGAGTTTGAATGGTCTGCTCACTCTGACCATCGGTTTGAGGATGGTACGCCGTACTTAACTTTACTCTCGTGCCCAATTCTTTTTGCAAGCCGCCCCAGAAGTGGGAGGTGAATCGGCTATCTCAATTTGACACTATCGACAACGGTATACCGTGCCTCGAGACTACTTCATCGATGTATAACTTGGCAAGCTTGTATATTGGCAACGATTTACGCATCGCCAGGAAATGAGCGCTCTTTGTCAGTCAGTCCACTACTACCCATATCGTATCATGGCCTCTTAAGGTCTTCGGCAGTTTGGTCACGAAATCCATCGTGATATGCTCCCATTCACTCGGGAATTTCCAAGGATTGAAGGCTACCATAAGGTCGTTGATGCTCTGCTTTCACTTGCAAAACAAGTCACGCACCTCTCTACATAACGAGCCACATCTATCTTCATAACTGGCCACCAATATATCAGTTTCAAGTCCCGATACATCTTGGTGCTACCCTGATGAATTGAGTATTTAGACTTGTGTGCGTCTTCTAGTAACAGTTCACGATTGCCTCCAATCTTGGGTACCCATATACGCCCTCGAAATAGTTTCAAGCCACGGCCATCCTCGGTCAACAACATGCGTTGTTTCGTCATTACTTCACTCTTGAGATTTTCTTCTAGGAGCGCTTCAGATTGTACGACCTTGATCCGGTCGATCAAACTCGACATTATATCGATCCTGGTAAGCACAGCTTTTATCCCACTGCCGTACTCCTTTCGGCTCAAAGCATCCGCCACTACATTTGCCTTACCCGGATGATATAGCAATTCACAATCGTAGTCCTTGAGCAGCTCTAGCCAACGTCGTTGCCTCATGTTTAGTTCTTTTTGATCAAAAATATACTTCAAACACTTGTGATCTGTAAAAAGCGTGCACCTGGTACCATAGAGGTAATGGCGCCAAAGCTTTAAGGCGAACACCACCGCCGCTAACTCCAAATCGTGGATGGGATAGTTCTTCTCATGATCCTTAAGTTGTCTTGAGGCGTAGGCAATCACTTTTCCCCTTTGTATCAAGACACAACCCAATCCCATTTTCGAAGCGTCGCTAAAGACTACAAAGTCTTCGGATCCCTTCGGCAGGGAGAGAATCGGGGTTTCACACAATTTCTTTTGGAGAGTTCTGAAGGCATGCTCTTGCTTTTCCATCCAGATAAACTTCACATTCTTCCTAGTTAAAGCCGTTAAGGAGGAAGCAACTTTGGAGAAATCTTGGATAAATCTCCTATAATATCCTGCTAGACCCAAGAAGCTACGGATTTCTGAAGGACTCTTTGGCGGTTCCTAGTTCATCATCGCCTCGATCTTGGATGGGTCTACCTTCACCCCGTCTCGAGTGACAACATGACCCAAGAATTGAACCTCCTTCAACCAAAAGTCGCACTTGGAGAATTTTGCATACAACTTCTCCTTTCTTAGCATTTCTAGGACCTCCCGAAGGTGTTACTCATGATCTGATTCGTCCATGGAATAAATGAGTATGTCTTCAATGAATACAATTACAGACTTCTCGAGGAATGGTCGGTAGACCTGATTCATCAAGTCCATAAATACTGCTGGTGCATTCGTCAAACCGAAGGGCATGACCAAGAATTCATAGTGCCCATAACGTGTCCTAAAAGCTGTCTTTGCCACGTCATCTTCTTTCACGCGTACTTGGTGGTACCCCGAGCGAAGATCGACCTTCGAGAAGCAACTTGCTCCCTGAAGTTGGTCGAAAAGGTCGTCGATCCTGGGGAGAGGATATTTGTTCTTTACAGTTGCTTTGTTGAGTCCTCGGTAGTCAATACATATCCTCATGGTGCCGTCCTTCTTCTTTACAAATAAGACCGGGGATCCCTACGGTGACGAACTCGGTCTAACGAATCCTTTCTCAAGAAGGTCTTGCAACTGAGACATCAATTCTTGCATCTCGGAAGGGGCCAGACGGTAAGGTGTTTTAGCAATTGGGACAGTTCCTGGAATAAGGTCAATTTGGAACTCCACATGTCTAACGGGTGGTAAACCGGGCAAGTCCTTCGGAAATACGTCTGGAAATTCCCTAACCACCTTCACGTCTTCAATTTTCCTTAACTCTAGCTTGGTGTCCAACACATACGCAATGAATGATGAGCATCCCTTAGCTAGGCACTTACGTGCCTTCGCCATGGATAAAAGTACTACATTCCCTTTCCTTCCTTCTCCATAAACTAGCACTGCGTCCCCGCTTGAAAAAGGAATTCAGATCAGCTTTTTAGATCATAAGATTTCCGTTTGGTTCTCCACTAGCCAATCCATCCCGATTATGATATCGAATCCGCCTATAGCCATGGGTATGAGGTCCACCCAAAATTCCTTTCCTTCAATCCCCTAGACACAACCTCTCACAATTTCGCGCACCAAAACTTGACTACCATTTGCTATCTCTATGATTAACACATCTTCTAGTGTACTAGGTGGCGTATGCAAGTGTTGATAGAAAGCAATGGACATAAAGGAACACGAAGCACCCGAATCAAAAAGTACGTGAGCAAGTACGGAGTTAACAAGGAACGTACCCGACACTACATACGTCGAAGCCTTAGCTTCTTCTCTAGACATCTGAATGGCTCGGCCGGTTGCTTTCGGGACGCCCTCCTTTCTCCCTTGACCCCCACCTGTTTTCAACTTTTGGCAGTCATTCTTGAAATGGCCCAGTTCTCTGCATCCAAAACATATGGGTCCCTTGATTGGGCACTCGTTTCGCGTGTGGCCTGCCTTCCCACACTTAAAGCATTTGGTGGGGGTAGAGTTGGTGCTACACGGGCCGTGATGTTTGCTGCGACACTTGGGACACCATCTTGTCTCTTGTTTGGGATGGGCTCCGCGATTGTCGTTGCCAAAGTGGTTTGGCTTTTTGGATGGTGCGTAGGGCCCTACCCACTTCCTCTTCTTACCACTCGACATCCTTTCTTCCTTTCCCTTAACATAAACTGATTCCAAGACCTTGGCTTCTTCGATTGCTTCCCTGAGGGTGGAAGCTCTTGAGTTCCTAACCATTATCATCATGTCTGCAGGTAGCCCTTTAAGGTAGGCTTTCATCTTATCTTTCTCCGTTGGGGCTACGTGTCCCACCAAGTTTAGCTTTTCCATAAAGAGTCGGGTGTAGTCCCTTACTGATAAATTTCCCTTTTTCAGGGTTCGGAATTCTTCTTCGATACGATCCATCTCTTGTTCATTACAATATTCTTCCATTACTTTTTTCTTGAATGTGGTCCAAATCATCTTGGTCAATTCAGTAACCTCGATGGTCGAGATGACAATGTTCCACCAGGTAAGAGCTGCACCCCTCAGCATTTGAGAGCCAAACTTCACTTTTTGCCCCTCGTCACAATCACAAGCCCGGATTGCTTGCTCGATTTCCTGGAGCCAATTCATGCACGCCATGGGATCGTCGAACCCCACAAATTCCGGTGGTTTGCAACATAGGAAGGTCTTGTAAGAGCAAGTTCTACCCATTTATCTTGCCTCAATCGTTGCTAGCTCCTGGGTTGGGATTCCATTTCCCGTGCCTCTGGACCCCCCCATAGTTACATTCTCGGCAACTGCATAATGCTTACGAGTATTACCGTCTCTGTCCTCCAAAAGCTTCATAAAGAACTCTTGTTGTTGGGCCATGGCTCTGTTCATGGCGTTCATCATAGAGGTGGCAAGGTCGACTTGGGGAACATGGTCTTCTCCACCGCCCAAGGTGTTTTGTCTAGGAAGAACCCTTGCGATGGTGGTTCGTGGCGGTTGATCCGCTGTAGATTCAGTTACCGCATGACCTTCCGGAGAGGTATCCCGTCTACTCCGAGTATTCACCCTTAAAGACTGTTATACAAGAGAGTGAAAGAGAGTTAAGATAGGACGAACACGGGATTAACATAATACATATCGATACGTTCATAAATTCTTGTAATAACAGTAAGTTCAAGCATGCTTGTGTAGTAATTTACTCAAAATAGCATTAGCTAAGTGAAATTTTGAATAAGTTATACATAAGAATTCTTAACACCATCATCACAATTCATGAACGGGTAGCCCCGCCGACCCTAAAGTTCTCCTATCTTAAAATTTCTACCCACCTCTCCCAATTAACACTTACAAATTCAGCTTAAGTCTAGGCGTCATGATCCCTTACCTAGTTCGCTTAAACTAGGGCTTTGATACCAACTTGTAACACTCTAAAAAATATAACAAAAGGGGTACAACGAGGAAGGAGATAATCTAAACCGGTTATTCAAACAACAAAGTTTTTTTTTGAAAGCTTAAATAAGTCGATCACCCAACAAAAGTGGGAATTAAAGCGTTTACAAAATAAAATTGAGACAATAATTGACAACCTAATAATCTAAACAATTCTTTGCCTAGATTAAGAACGGGTGTCTCTACCATCTCCAACAAAACGAACTTCAACCAAAATTGCAATGCTCAAATCACCAAGTGCCTTGACTACAAAAAAAAAAAAAGACTTTTACGAACGACAAACTTCTTAACCCTTCGATACACCGCCGCTAAAGGAACCTGATGAGCAAGCCATTCCGAGAAAAGTGTTAGGCTTACGCCTAGTGAGTTCAAACAATAGAATAAGCGTAACCATGAAA